AGTCACCAATAACTAATATATGGCTACTAAAAAATTTTAGTAGCTAAAAGTGCACAACATTGCCAACCAATAGGAAAATCAGTCTGTAAAGGTCTGACTTTTGGCGACCAAAAAAGTTTTAGTTGCCAAATTTGGTCACCAAAGGTGCATTTTGTTATAGTGTCTTGATTGGAGAGTTTTTTAGTTTGTTCCTTACCTTAGGCCTCCATTTTACGAAAGTAAAATATATATATACATTTTATATATAAATTCTTAAAGTAGAAAAAAAGAAATCTTAAAAAAAAGGAAAAATAATAGACCTGCCCTATTCACACTACAAAATTATGTTGATACCATTCTTGAGATCAGTGCTCAAATAAATACTAGGGTAAATTACAAATACACTCCCTTGGATTTGTTTAAAGTACAGATTACTCCCTGTAATTTGAAAAATTACAAATATCTCATTGTTAATTTTTTTTATTTAACATAATTAACTAAAAAAAAGAAATTCATAATTGCTTTCCTATACAATAATGAAATTACCTAAATTATTAATTGAAGCATATTTATAACATCATTAAAAACAGTTAATTGACTTGATGATTTATTAATATAAGAGATGATTTGTTATAAAATTAGAAACCTTAGGGGGTGGAATGTAATTTTTAGAAACACAGGAGGCGATTTGTATTTTAATCAAATCTCAAGGGTCTATTTGTAATTTATCCTAAATACTAGACTTGCTATTACTGTGAAAAGCAAAATGAGCCCTATTTTGTCAAAAGTTCCAAATTTCTCAACATGAATATAATATAATTCTTTCTTTTTTTTTTCTGTTTTTTTTTTTTAGCAACTATATTTTAAAAAGAAGTCCCATTTTGAAAAAAGGTTCCAAACTCTCAAATTATTAGCATAATATAATTCTTTTCTATTAGCAATTTTATTTTTTTCTAAAGAAGGTTTACTTGAAAAAGGTTCCCATCCCACCAAAAAAAGGACATAGTAATAATTTCTTAATGATTGTTGTTTCCTAAAAATTTTAAATTATTTTTTATGAGAAGTAATCTCACCATGGCAAGACCACGGTGAATCCATCTTTGTAGAGTAAATCCATACCTATAATAACCCGCAAACCATATATATTGGTTAAGTCCCTTATGAGAATTGAACCCAAATTGTCTAGGTTTACAGATCATCCCAATCCAACTCCTTCACAGCTATGCACAACAACATTTTCTTACTTCAGTGACACTCGAAAGTGCCACAAGACTATTCTTCTTGTGCCATTTTTTAGTCTTGTGGCGTTTTGAACAAATGCCATTTATACCCATGCCATGGTAGATGCTAGTGGCACTTCAGTGACACTTGTAAGTGCCATTACACCATCAAGACTGAAGATTTTCAATGACACTTTGATGTCATGGTAGATACTATTCGTGACACTACCAAGAGCCATTAAAAAAAAGCTTACAATCTAAAAAATGTCAGTATATATTTTTTTAACGGCACTTGTTATGTCATAATTGATATTTTCAACAACTCTAATAAATGTCATTAAACCCAGCTTTTAGTGGCGGCTCAAAATGACAGTGTTTCACACTTATATGCTATTTTTAAAAGCCACAATTAGGCATGTGAAAATGCCAATAAAAATTATTCCTTATTTTATAAAAAATTAAACATTAATTGCCACATCCTACATTGACAATTTGGCATCCATTCATTCAATAATATTTTCATAATGGTAAATAAATATTATCATCATAGGATCATCACATCAAAAAACAATGAAAATTCAAAACACAATTTTTTTTCCATCTAAATATATAAATTTATTTATATTACAATAAAAATCATAGTCAAAATTATTGAGCATTCTACCATACTAACAAAAGTCAAAGCAAAAAATTTTAAAAAAAAATTCCAAACATGGACTAACTAAACATAAGTTCTCAAAAACCATACTTACATCCATTTTCCACAAAGACAGATTACGAAAACAAACTCAATCCCCAAATTTTCAACCTCACTTGTATAAGTATTCTCGACCATCATCCATAGCTTGCGAAATCTGCATCCGACAGATAAATATATAAAAATATTAGAAATTATATTAAGTTAATACAAATTTGTCAATGAAATTAGTATTTACGAAAGAAATATACCATAAATGAAGCAGACAAAGCAACATGAGCTCCAATAACTTGTCCAATTGCTTTGACAAGTCTATATATTCGGATCAAGCTCTCATTAATTAGGTTTAACTGGAACATATCAGGCATATCTGCATTAGAACATCAATATATTTTAGTCAAATAGTCAATGACTAACTTCTATCCATTTTCCAAACTACACAAGGGGGTTTTTTTTTTTTTCCGGTGAATAACACAAGGAGTTTGTTTGTAATAAAAAAAAAAAAGAGAGAAAAACAACATTTACTATGCTCTCAACAAGTTATCTAAGTTTCTTAATTGTCATCCGTCCTTCATGAGATGTAAATCTAGCACAAGAAGTTCACCTTGATTTATCAGTAAGTTGATTACCAACAAAAATAGAAAAGAAACAAAAGGAATATTAAACTTACATTCAGAATGGCCTCAACAAGTTTAATGTAGAATGGCCTCAACAAGTTTAATGTTGAATGCCCTTTGTTTTTCAAGCTGAAAACTTCCTATATCACAAATAACTTTTAAGAGTTAATTAAAATATACATTGAAAAATTCTATGATACACATCCCCTTAAAAAATGTGTACCATGCACCCTAGTTCTAATGATTTGTGGTCTTATGAATTATGTGGCATTTAGTTATAAGATTTTGTGATGGACAAATTTTTGATGAACTTGGTTATTAGACTTTTTGTAGTATTTATGGTTATAACCCATGGTGGTTTTGGTTATAAAATTTTGTGATATTTAGGTATAAATTTAAGCGGCATTAGTTATGAGGCTATATGGTATTTTTTTAAGAACCAAATTGATTTTGGTTATGATCCAAATTAGTGAAAATTATGAACCATTGTGATAAAAACTTTGGATGCTTATCATTAAAAAGCTTTTGGGGTGTATATAGTAGCACTTCCAATGAACATTTATTTATGGTTGAAGTGGAACAAATTTAATATGACTTATTAGGTCATTCTGTCAAACACTTACAATACAAGTGAAAATTTATGCACATGTGTAATGATTGTATAAACAATCAACTGAGCAATATTAATTGATTTGAGTCCAGTCAAACTCACACCCAAAAAAGGAAAAAAACTTGATTGGTTCAACAATCTTATAAATTTTGAAAATAAAAAATAAAGCCAAAATGGTGCATTGATAATTATAGTTATGTGCCTGTATATATACATCTATATGTATGCACTGATCATCAAAAACATGCTATACAACAATAGCTTTTGGCTATATTCTGTGGCTGGATTGCCTGGATTGCCTCCCATGAATTGACTATTTGGGCATTTTGACACAAATTCTCAAGTTCCTATTATTTTCCCATGTGAACAGAGTTAGAAATAACAAATATCAACTAGTACTTCATGACAAAAGTGATGTCCCAGACATTTATGGAGTGAGGAGAGAGAGAGAGAGAGAGAGAGAGTTTAAAAATTTCAAGTTTCAAAGCAATAGATCTCAGATGTGCATGGGCTTGATAAGAATGATCAAAAGTTACCTAGGCTGCAATGTATTTGAGAATGACGGAGACGTTGTGAGGGGCACCGGCACAAACATGATTGGCGTACTTGCGAAAATTGAAGGCAACCTTTTAAGGTTTGTAAATCATATGGAGGACTTGGGCTTACTTTTGGCTGCTGTTGTTGAACATAAAGAACTCATCGTTTATTGCCGATCAAAAACCCCAGAGAGAGAAAGAAACAGATAAACCTCTAATAGGCTGAGAAAGAATGTCTAAAATTATCCCAAGAGTGCTTAAAATAATCTAAAATTCCTAACTAAACGCCATTAAAATTAAATTTTATTGTGGCATTTGTTAATGAAATGTCACTATTGATGTATAACACTTGTGGCTCAGTGTCATTTTTCAAAACATGCCAGTAAATAATATTTTTGTGACACTTCTTTATTGAAATGCCACTAAAGCCTTTGATGTTTGTAGCTTTGTAACATTTTTCTAAAACGTGCCACAAAATATTTTTTTGTGACATTTTTTAAAAACATGTCACTAGTGTAGTGCCACTAAAGTGTGTTTTTGTTGTAGTGATACCACCTATGGAGGTCAATAAATTTTATTTTTATTTATCGCAATCCAAAATGTTTCGCTTTAGACCTAAATGTTCAAGCGTCAGGTTCAAACATCAGATTTTATAAGAAATGTGTCATCTACCAAATTAATCTTTGGTGTCAAAAACGTGTATTTTTCTATTTTTTTATATGGTTTGAAAATTTATATTTATTTAGATGGCGGCTTCCAATTGCTTAATTATAATGGGTTGTGGCAAGGAGTTCAAATTTGCTGACTTTGTTTTATGGTGCTTAAACATAAAAATGACTGATTTAGGGGTGTAGGGGCGGTCACATTTTTTAATTTTTTTTTAAAAAAATCTCATATTATATTGATAATTAGTAAGATAATTTTCATGGTTTTTTTTTCAAAAATTTTAAGAGACAGATTTTGCTTCTTTAAGAAACTAATTTAGATATTGTTGTAATAAGAAGAGAAGAATTACCAAAGGTTATTTGTTCTCTCACCCAAAAAATAAATAAATAAAGAAAGAAATAAAAAATAGCAATATGCATATCAACAGTTCATCCTGTAACCGAGATAATTCATTGAGAAGAAACTTATAATAAAGATGCAATAAATATATTAAATAAAATTTCAATTTTAAAATAAATTTTCTGTTAAAATACTAAATAGCAGTTAGTGAAACACAAGATCAAATATATTAATTGACAGTCCCTTAAATTAAAAGTACTATGTAAGAGTCTCTCCTACTTCCCATACTAGCAGAGAGGGAAGAACAAAAACAAAACCAGAAATAGAGAATTGAAAATGGCATCCTTTTTTGGTAGCTGTTCCATGCTAGTTTCTCTTGTATTCATGTTCATGTTGATTGGTCCCTCGTTTGCTAAACAACATACTAAGCTCAAGCAAATATGTTCTAAGACTATTGATCAGCATGAGTGCATAAAGCTTATGAAATCTAATTCGCGTGCTTCAGATGCTGATATTCGTGGCCTAACTGACATTGCAATTGACTTAGCATCCTCCAAGGCTAGAGACATTCTTAACTCACCTTATGATAATAGATTTGAAGGATACACCTCATTTAGAAGGTCATGTAGCAACAATTATCTGAATGCCATTAGAGACCTTGAACAAACCAAGAAACTCTTCTATGATGGTGACTATAAGCGCATTGCGGTTCAAGTGAATGATGTTAAGGAAGACGTTCGTGATTGCAAAAATCAATTTGAAAATTCAGCAAATTACTCATCTTACAAATCTGACCGCAAAAGATGGAATAAGGAATTTGAAATTCTTTGCGATGTAATCAAGGTCTCTTCTAAATCATTGTATGACGATTCATATTCTTCGTTTACCCGGCTTCCATGAATCCAAGACTTGGAAATCCTAAAAGGAATCGAGTATGAACTTGGAGCTTGATCATTGAAGAGGAAATCAGACATGTTATTATGAGCTGTGAGGGTAATAAAGCCCCTGGGCTTGACGGATTTAACATTGCACTTCTCAAGAAATGTTGCAGCATTGTGAAATCTAATATGCTTAATTTTATGAGTGAGTTTCACCGAAATACATGTTTTGTTGGTGGAATCAATAGCTCATTTTCTTCTCTAATTGACATTAGGCGAATTAGTTTGATTGGTTCCTTATATAAAATTCTTGCCAAGGTGTTATCTAATCGATTGAAAATTGTTATGCCTATGATCATTGGTGAGGTTCAATTAGCTTTTTTGGGTGGAAGGAACATATTTGATGGGGTTTTGATTGCAAATGAGATAGTTGATGAGTGGAGAAAATCAAAGAGTAAAGGTCTAATTCTCAAATTGGATTTTGAAAAAGTGTTTGACTCAGTTAACTGGGAATTCTTATTTTCCATGCTCTCGAACTTTGGATTTGGTGATAAATGAATCAACGCCTGTGTGTCTTCTGTTAAGATTTCAGTCCTGGTCAATCGATCACAACTCCTAAATTCCATCCGCAAAGGGGTGTAAGACAAGGTGATCCTTTGTTACGTTTCCTATTTAATATAGTAGTTGAGGCCCTTAACATCCTACTGTTTAAAGCAAAAGAGTTGGGTTTTTTTAAAAGGAGCACGTGGGATCAAATGGCTTTTCTATCTCTTATCTACAATTTGCAAATGATACTGTCTTGTTTTGTGAAGCAAATTTGGAGGAAGTGGTGAACATCAAAAGAATTCTAAGATGCTTTGAGATCCTATCGGGACTTAAAATTAATTATCATAAGAGTGTAATCAGTGGTATTGGGGTGAATGAGGGTTGTTACATAATTTTGCTATTAGACTTAGGCCCCGTTTGGTAGAGCTGTAGGAAAGTGATTATAGATTATAATTTAACAGATTATAAATTAAAGCTGTGAACATAAGCTGGTAACCTGTTTGGTGCAGCTGTGAGATTATGGATTTAAGCAGCAAAGTAATGTTTGGTAAATAAGCTGTAAAACAACTTTTTGCTGTATAATTGTCATTTTTGCCCTTATAAGATATAAAATTTGTGATTTCATTTATAATACATTTTTTTTTTCATTTCATTTTATTTTCTTTTCTTTTTTACCTTATTTTCTTTTCTTTTTTTTAAATTTTTTTTCGTTCTCTTTTTTCTTTGTTAATTTTGTTTAATTTATTAATTCATTAAAATTAATATTCCTGTCCTAATTTATATTAATGTTGTGATTTCATTACATATTATTTTTTATGTATTCATTTTAATTATTTATATCTGCATTTCTTTTCTTTATTATTGTTATTAATTGTGATTGTAGTATAAAAATTATCAATTTGCTCATCAATTATTAAAATTATTATCACTTATTAGTATCAATTATTATTATTATTATTATTATTATTATTATTATTATTATTATTATTATTATTATTATTTTTAGTGATATTTCATTTTTTTATTTGACAAATCCTTTAATTTTTTTTTCAATTTATATAATTTTTTAGTGATATTTCATTTTTTCATTTTTAGTAAAATTATTTCATTATAAATTAATTAGTGTCAATTAATAGCTTAAGTAGCATCAATTAATACTAAAATTATTAATTAGTATCAATGCTTAACTAATGGCTAAATTATTATTCATGGCTAAATTATAAAATGCTTAATTATTATTGTTATTTTTTTTTAAAAAATAAACACTCAAAACCTCAAAATCAAAAAAATCGGCGACTAAAAAGTTAGTCGCCAAAAGTCTTTATTTTGGCGACTAAACGGTTTAGTTGGCGTTTGATTGAGTATTGGCGACTAAATTATTAGTCGGTAAATTTATGATTTTCAAAAGTGTAAAACACTATTAGCGACTAAATTATTGGTCGCTAAAAGGGCTCCTTTTTGCCGACTAAAACAGGTTTAGTCGCCAATACCTCCCGCGACCATTTATTGGCGACAAAGGCAGCGACTAAAAGTTTTAGTCGGGGAAACCCAAAACTTGATTTTTAGTGACTAAAAATGGACCTTTGGCGACTAAAAATTTAGTCGCCAAAGGTGATTTTTCTTGTAGTGTGGGGATGGAGACGACGACAGACTGTTGATCGTCACGCAGTCGATCGTGACTCTAGGGTTTTAGATCGCCATCGTCACATAGTCATAGTTAGGGCTTCAATCGTGAAGCTAAGGTTTACAACCCGATGGCAGTGGTGAAGAGAGAGAGAGAGAGAGAAAGAGAGAGAGAGAAGAGAGCTCTGGTTCGTGAGTGAGAGAGAGGGAGAGCTCGGGTTCGGAAATCGCCCTTTGAAAATCGCCTCTCGTCGAAAATCGCCCTCCGAAAATCGCCTCTCTCTCTCTCTCTCATAGAATGAACACTGATTATTTTTGTAGTTTATATAATGGCAATTTGGTAATACTTCAAATTAATAAAGGGCATTTAAGTAATTTTACCCCTCAAGTTTTAGCTTCCCGCTTATGCTGAATGAATAAGCACCCGAGAAGCCATTCAGCCAAAAATCACTCTTTTGGCTTAATTTAAGCTACAAAAAGTGATTTTAAGCTCTACCAAACACACAAATTGTAGCTTAAATTAAGCTAAAAGTTGAAATAAGCAGCTTTTAAGATGCACTGAGCAGGCCTTTAATTGTCTTCATTATAAGCTACCTCTCAAATACTTAGGGATGCCTCCAGCAGCAAATCCAGGTAGAAAAAGCACTTGGAAACCTGTTCTTGAGAAGCTCAAGTTGAAACTAGCCTCATGGAAGAAGAGACTGCTCTCCTTTGCTGCATGTTGACCTTAATTAAATTTGTTATGTCTAGTTTGCCTACTTACTATCTTTCTCTATTTAAAACACCTGTTGGAGTGGCTAAGGAGATTGAGAAATTGAAATCATCTTTTTTCTGGGGTGGATCTGATTTAAGAAGAAAAGTGCATTTGGTCAAGTGGGATGTGATCACATTAAACAAAAGGTTTGGTGGTTTGGATGTGAGAAGAATTAGTATTATGAATGTTTTCCTTCTTCTAAAATGGTGGCGGAGGTTTGGGGCTGAGAACCACTCTTTATGGAAGAAAGTAATTTGTAACAAATATAATTTAAAGGGTGGTAGATGGATTCCAAGTTTGGATGGCAGTGGTTCCAGAATTTGGTCTGATATAATAAGCACTGTACTATCAAAACCAAAGTTACATAACTTTTATCTCAATAATTCCATGACTGTGTTGGGGGATGGTAGAATGGCTTTATTCTGGTGGGATAAGTGGGCAAGGAATGTTTGTTTAATGGAGGAATTTCCTAGGCTTTTCTTCTTATCCAATGATAAGATGGGTGTGGTTAATGATTACTATCAAAGAAGAGGAGAAGCTGCTGATGACTGGAATCTTGGATTTAGAAGAGCTTTACTGGCTTGGGAGAAAGAAAAGGTGAATAGGCTATATGATTCCCTTAGAATTGCACTTGTATTATACTGAATCAAAATAGATAGCTTAATTTGGACTGCTGACTCTTCAAGATTATTCAGTGTGTCCTCAGCTTATAATTGGTGGGAATCCTCTCTTGGGCATGCTTTGAGCTCCACTAATATATTATGGAATAACTGCACCCCACCCAAAGCCCAGTTTTTTAGATGGTTAGCATGGCATGGTAAGGTCAAGACTGCCATTTTCTCTGTAGAATAGGGATCCTGGGTCATAATATCAATCAGGCTTGTATTTTCTGTCGAAATGAGATTGAAACTATGGATCATATTCTATTGTTTTGCCTATTTGTTTGGCTGATATGGTCTAACATTGTAAGATGGTGGGGCTTTTAGTGGGCCTTACCTAGTTCTGTGAATGGGCTACTACAGTGGTGGTCTGGCTGCCAGATGAAAGAGTTGGAAAAGAAAATCTAGTTGGCTATTCCTTTTGTTGTCCTCTGGTCCACTTGGAAACATAGAAATGAGTGTGTGTTTAATGGCTCTCAACCAAACCAAGAGGTGCTCTGTGATCTTGTTAAGGTGAGAGTAGCATTGTGGGTTAAGGCTTCATCACCCTCACTAGTGTTTTCTGTTAATGACATTGTCTCAAGCTTGCAATAGGTCCTATTTTGCATTAGAAATGGTGGCTAAGCTAGTGTGGAGCTGACCAGGGGCATTTTTGGCTGTCTTCTATTGTTTCCTTTTGGGGGTGCTAGCAAATGATAGGATGGGCTTCTTGGTGTCAACATAATTGAGATGATTTAGCACATTGTGATGCTTTATGCACCATCTTCTCTTTATTTTTTTTTGATCAGCAAAAGAAAAGATTTATAGATGAAAGAAGCAAATTACAAGCAAAGATACATCAATAAATCAGGGAAGTGCACAAGCATCATAGCTAACCTTCACAATCCCAACTAGGTTGGCACCATAAAGGAAGCACAAACAAATGCAAGCACTTGACCCAAGATTGGCGAGAAGCCAATAGAAAGCGAAAATAAAAATAGGAGGTTGGAGACATCAATAAAATAGGAAGCACATTGTGTATACAACTTGTACCTTTCATTATCGTCAATAAAGTTTCTTTTTTGCCGATAAAAAAAAAAGTTGGAGCTTGAAATCATGGCTGTAGGGGAAATGTTTTGCACCTTAGCAATGGAGGATTTTTTTTTAAAAAAATTTATTTTATTTTTATTTTTATTTTTGTTTTTTGAACTGAGTTTGAAATGGATTTGAGAAGATCGAATCATATGGTACAAACATTGAACTCAATTAATTGGGGTGTTAGCTATCATGAAAAACTAACGAATCAAAGTTTTTATAGATATTTTATTAGATTACAATTTTTAATTAAAAGTTTAATTTAAAGACATTGCAAATTTATAATTAGGTATACAAAATCACTCATATAGTAGAAATTAAATTATATAGTGAACGTGTTAAAAGATAACCTACTCACTGTTAGAG